AATTATGATCATAATATTTTATTGTTTTAATAGAATTGCAATCATGGTAACAAGGATGATAAAAACAATAATAGTTATTTTGGTAACAAATAATTTCAAAAGTAAAAACATGTATGATAATTTTAAAATGATAATAATAATGGCAATATTACATAATGATATTAGTGAATAAATCATTTTAAGATATAATATTCCTAATAACAGTGACAAAAGTAATAATCATTATAATTCTAATGATAATGAATATGTTTTGTATAAAAAGTATGAATGAGAATGAACATCTTCACAGCGCCAAAAAAATGCAATTGACTGGTTTTGATTATCTTAGTAATCTAAGGAAGAGACATTGAAACTGGCCTAATACATATCTTTCAGTGTGAAAATGCTCATTCATTCATGCCTCTTCTACAGTTGTTGTAATAAATACTGTTCATTGTTGATAGAATTGTTTAATGGTTTTTATAACATTGAAATATAGTAATAGTAGTAGTAAAAATTCTAATGACGGGAGCGCCAATAAGAATGTTGAGGAAGATACTGATGATAGAAAGTAATGATAATGGTGCAAGAAATTATTGGTAATAATGGTAATGATGATTATAGCAATGATAAGAATGATGTGAAATTGATAATGATAATATCTATGGTTATGATAATAATAACAAGGATTTTTTAGAGATGATATTGATTTGATATTTTTATTGTTAATGCTTTTACCATTATTATTATTATTATTGTTATTATTCTTTGCTGTTGTTATTGCTGTTATTATTGGTATAATGATTGTTATCATAAAGTATGATAATGATGATTTTATTGATAATAATTGTAATAATAAGATAGGAGAAACCATACCTTTCAAGTTCTGATAACACTAGCTATTGAAAAAAAGAAAAATCTTCCTTAATACACAGCAAAACTGGAATGATATAAACATATTCTTGAACACTCTGTGAGTATGTTCCTTTTTTTTTCCTCTCACACAACACATGTGTAATGAGAACTTACCCTCCAGAATGGTTTAGGGAATCAGGAGCGTGCAGCATCAAATTCATCTTTGTCAAGCAGCACATCTTCGAGTGGGCAGTCGTGGGCAGATAAAGTGCGCGGGGCTCCCTTGTCCTTGCAGTCATCACAACTTTCTCTCCAAGGTTGGTGTGTCTTTGGTTCTTCCCCCCCTCCCCCCCCCCCCTCTCTCTCTCTCTCTCTCTCTCTCTCTCTCTCTCTCTCTCTCTCTCTCTCTCTCTCTCTCTCTCTCTCTCTCTCTCTCTCTCTCTCTCTCTCTCTCTCTCTCTCTGGATATACGGGCGTCCAGGGAGGAGTCGCCCTTCCACCGCATCCTGGGGCGCCTGGCACCTGCACTGACGAGTTCCTGGTCCTTCGCTGGACCTACAGGCGGCGCCCTTCCACTACATCCTGGTCCTTGCACTGACGAACTTTGAGTCCACTGGCCTACGGCGATCTTCCAGTGATGTCTTTCCCATGCCATCCTTAGATGACTGGATCTGCAGCAGGTTGCTCCTTCAGTACCGTGTCAGATATCATTGGTCCAACACAAGGGTCAAGATTTGTAAGAGAAAAACATAGAGAAAAAAAGTATTGAAAATAAGATATGTAGTATTATGCATATTATTGTTCACTCGTCACTACTGGCAAACTCGCGGGCCAAAGAAATGCGACATCGATGTTTACGCCAACAACTACGACAATAATAAACCCTATCAATGATAGGTTCTTGTGTCTTGTGTGAGTGAGAGAGAGAATGAAAGTGAGGATGAACTTGCACATAGAATGAATCACAGACACGAAGATTAACGTTCATTTAAAAGTAATTCTGTAACTAGAAAATAATACAAAATTATTTCAACTACCTCACTGAACTGAATATTTAATCATATGCGACGGAATGTACGCATTAGTGAACGGTGACAGGAAATAATATTTGCAAGTTTCTCGCAACGCAAAGCTTCCTGGCTCATATGTGTACCGCACAATGGCTGATTCTATTTACTCTTTATTACGGATTCGCTACAAGATTTGATATGCTGAGGTAATGTTTAGCTTAGTCATGTCAGACTATGTAAGACCTCATCGACGGGGCTTCCTATATCCAAATTGCTGAACGAAATGAAATGAATTGAATAAACGAAATGGGAAAAATGCATAATTAACCCACTGTACACTTATCTGTGATGGGCGCTCGTGACACTGCACTTGCGAGGTAACTGTCGCGATATCAGTCACCTGGGATTTTACGCAGAACATACAAGCGACTTCCATGAGGGTAAGAAGGGTTGATCAAGAAGCGAATTATAATTCTAGCTAACCCAAGCCGTACATTAATTGAATCGACGTAAATATAGGCTCACTTCGACTCGAATAAAAGTCGCCGATCAAAACAAATAACATCGGTTTTACTCTTTACTTACTATCGCACGTCGCACTGCACTGTTGGGCGGTTTATACCTGGCATCCCTGTGTACTACGATGATTATAATAA